CAGAAATAAACCCCCATTGATACCAGCAGTACAACAAAAAACCATGTGCATACGCTGAAGAAAAGTCTTTTCAGCAAATGGTGTTTTGGTAAACTGGAAAGTCATATCAAAAAAGAATGAAACGAGAATACTATCTCACATCATAACAAAAAAATTATATGGAGATTAAACAAGTGGATTAAAAACCTGAAATCATAAAATACATAGAAGAAAACATAGGAAAAACACTCCACGGCTTGTGTCCTTGGAAATTTCACTCAAGCAGCAAGGGGGAAAAAAGTTAAACTACACAAATGGGACTACAGCAAATTAAAAACCTTCTGCAGGGTCAAGGAAACTATCAATTAACATCAAGAGATAACCTACTGAATGGAAGAAAATTTCTGTCTAACATCTAACAATGGGCTAAGATCTAAGATCTATAAAAAGAAATCAAATTATTTCTAGACAAATGACAATCAAGAAACAACCTTCTAGAACTTATAGGACACAGCAAAAACTGTAGTAAGAGGAAAATACACAGCAATACAGGTCCACATCAAGAAACAAGAAAGAACCTAAGTAAAAAACCATGTCTCTCATCTCAAGGGAGTAGAAAAAGAACAAGCAAAACCAAAACTCAGAAGAAGAAAGGAAATTAAAAAAAAAACAAAAACAGAAATAAACGAACTAGAAATCAAAAAGACAGTCCAATGTCAATGAAACCAAAGGCTAGATCATTGCAAACGTAAACAAAATAGACAGGCTGCAGTGAGGCTAAGGAAAAAAAGGAGAAACCTCAAATAAATAGGATCAAAAACAAAAGAGAAATTAAAGCAGACACTGGAAATTCAGAGGATAATAAAAGACCTATGAACATTTTAGGCTAATCAGTTCAAATACATAGAAAAGTTGGACAAATTCTTAGAATTATACAAATCATTCAAGACTGAATGGGGAAGAAATTGAAAATCTGAACAAAGCAATCATAAGCAAGGAACTTAACAGTAATCAAAACGCTCCCAAAAAACAAAAGTGTACAAGACAGCTTCACAAGTACAAGTACAAGACACTGTTAAAATCAATAGAAGACACAAAGAAATGGGAACATATCTCCTGCTCACAGAGTGGAACAATCAACATAGTGACAATGGCCACTCTACCCAAAATAATATACAAAGTCATTGCAATCTCAATTAAAAACTTCAATGGTATCCTTCAAAGAAACGGAGGAAATATTATTGAAATTCTTATGGAACCACAAAAGACCCCAAATAGCCAAATTTCTCCTGACAAATTTCTCCTGGTATTACACCCCTCAGGCTCAAAACTGTAATATATATCCATATTGATTAAAATAGCATGGTATTGGAACAAAGACAGGCAGGTCAGCGGTATATAACCGAGAGCCCAGAAATAGATCTGCATTTATATGGACAGTTAATATATGACAAAGGATCTAAGAGTATACACTGTTTTTTATGGAAGTAACATCTGTTTATAATGCTGTATATGATTTAGGGGTATAGGTTCACACCTCTTCAGATACATGTTAGCACCCCACAAACACCACTAACACACCCATAATCTTCCACAACAGTCCACCGGGCCCACTCCCTTCCTTTGCTCTCCACCCCTTCCCATCCCCCCTTGGCAGCCTCAATTCAATGGTCAGGTTTCTAGTGTTTCATAATGGTTTTGTCTGAGTCTTTGTTTCTCTATATTCATATAAGAGTGGAAGTATCTGGTATTTATCATTCTCCTTCTGACTTTTTCACTTATTTTTAAAATTCTCTATTTTTGATGGCTAAGTAACCCAAAATTTCCAGTTGGCTAAGATTGTAAATTTTAATTAATTAGAACATTTAAAAATTGTTCATCTCTATCATGAAACAGATTACTTGCGATAAAAATTATCTCATGATCAAGAAAGGGCAGCACTCTCTAGCCAAATTTTAGATAAACATCAACTGTTTTGCACACTGACAATTTGTTCAAAAATTTCTCAACTTCCATGTCTCTATGTTAAATATGCAGCTAGAAATCCATCAAATGAAAGGATCTTTATAGGTACATTTTAAATTAAGTTATCATTGGCTTACAACACTGCATATAGTTCAGAAATACAGGATTCCACCTCTTCAGGGCTTTTAAAGTTAATTACAAATTAACATTGTGAGTTATTTTCTCTTCCTTTCTGTATTACCTCTTTCTTGCTAAAATGTTCTCTAATGCATTTCTCATTGGAATTGTCTATGTTAACTTATCCTGACTGAGCATTTATAGCCAGATCATAGAGGTGATTAAAACATGTTTAACAGTGGGCTCTTTTTCTTTTCTTTTTCTTAGATAAATAAATATTTTGAAAATATGCTTTTGGATTGCCACTGAGGAAAGGGGCAAGCAGATGTCAAAAACATTGTGGTACAGTAGACTTACATGCTAAAGTCCAAGGTAGGACAAACAAGTAGACTCATATCAGTCAGTAACCTCCTAGTAAAATCTCAGATAACCAACTTTTATTTTATCTCCATAAATGCCTACAAACATTTCAAATTAAGTTTTGTATTAGCTACTTGCATATCTTTTATTTCTTATTTTAACCATTTGCAAAAACAAAGGAATTTTGCTTGATATTTTGGGCATTTGTTTAAAGGCAAGCTAATTCAAAATTACTCCAGAAATGTACATTTGAAAATATTGTTTCCTTAATACAAATTAAATAAAAATGATAATAAGCAAGCATACTATATACATGGCTTTCTGCCATTTGAGAGACCATAAATTGGGCTTTAAATAGATGTTTTAATTATGATATGTTATAGAATGTACACTTAAGTATTCTCTTCTGGAAAAGGAAGCAATGATCTCTCACACCACGTTTCACTGATAAACATGACAGCAAAAAATCATAACTTTATCTTAACTTTCAAACCCTGTTAAGAAAATACTATCATGGCTATTTCCATGTAGTAAGAAAAAAATCATGAATTGGAATAACCACAATTTTGAGTACCAGGGGTATTATTTAGAGGCTCTGAACTTATTCATTTACTTTATAAGAACATCAAATAGATTTAGAATATAATGTGGCATCTTGACAATTTATAATTTAAAACAAAGATCACAAGTTGATAGCCCATGGGCTCCTCTATCCAGATCACAGATGGATTCTGTATTGGCCTGTATGAAGTTATTTTTGATTTTGTTTTGCTTTATGTTGCATTAGTTGCCAATTTTTAAGAACTACATGTAAAAATCTAGATTCCCAACTTTTCTTTACAAGTCAGATCTTAAAAACACTGGGCCTTTATTCCCAGATGGTATCAATCAGCTGAGCTCAGTAATAGATGCCACCATTTGAAAAATATATATACCCTCTAGGTCACTGTAGTCTACATAACGCCCTATTGTATATGGTCTTTCAATTATGTTACCAGCCTTGCCTCAGTTGGGTTTAGAGTTTGCAACTTCCTCATTTCTCTGCAGTTTATATAGGCAAAGTAGTACATATACTTTTAAAAAAATAGTTGATGTTTTTTCTTAGATGTGCAGTAAATGTAAAAACCTCATTACAACCATGGATATATGTAATGTGCCTTCTGATTAATCTAGAAATAAAAGTATAAAATTTAAACTACTGCTAGGCTTACATTAAAGACAGATGTTGACATCAATTTGCATTTTGCCAGGAAAATAAAAATGAGAGTCAACTGCATTCATACAAAATAAAAAACACTGTCAATATCACAAAACTACACTCAAAACTCAATTCCATTGAATGTTTTTCAGAGAAAAACCATTTATATCAAAACAGTGGTTTCTAGGTCTCCACAGCATTTAGGTCACAGTCTAACAGAAAGTTTAGCACTTAAGCAGGCACATCCACTACTTCAGGTCACCTGGGTATTATTTAGTGTGCATGATACTTAAGATTCTATACTTATTATAGGAAATAGCCCAGAAAGTAGAAACACTACCATAATAATTTCCATTTTCTATGTTTAAAACCAAGGATAAATCACATGGTCTGGTCCCTATCTGCCCCACAGTTCTATGACATTGTTTTTCATTAAAAAATATGGATAAATCATTCATCAAGGGAAGTCCTGAACAAAAGAGGGAGAAGTAACCAAAGGATGGTTTAACCTGAGAAGGGTGTGTTGAAGAGAATAGCACTGCTGCCAGGCAATATCAAAACGTACTTTAGCATCATGAGTTGTCTTCCATCTCCTTTCCTTGTTGAGTCACTGTCCAAACTTTTCCCCAGTACAACCGAAAAGGTATATGGCCTGGAGAAATATGGTATCTCTGATTGCAATTTAACCGACATTGACATAGTTATTTTAGGAATTTTTGAGGAATCCTTAGACTTTGAGATATTTAAAAAATGTAATTTAAAAAAAAGTATTTCAAATATTTTAGAAATACTGTCATGACTGCAAAATATATTTGTGCCTAATATCTATAAATAATACCAGAAAATAAGAAGGCCAGGCTATTTTCAATTATTGCTGTAGCACACTTAATAGCCTGTGCTGTCCTGCAAAAGTGAATGTACCTTCCTAAGCATTTCAGAGCCCAGAGATGGGTAAATTACTTTCTCATCATTTCACATAGAAGTCATGGTTTTTATGTTAGTGACCCTCATTCACCCCCATCAACTTTGTAGCCTTTGTCTAGTTTCTGCTTTAGTTCCCAGGGAAGAAATGCTCCCTGTGGCTAGAAGTCATCTCCTCATTGCAGGTTCTTGGAATCCACTCTGAGTAAACAGATATGAATGATTGCGAACTAGTAACACTGAAACCATGCAGACCCCAATTATTTGGTTTATATTTCTATTATTATTAACTAAGGATTAAGCAAGATTCAAAAGTTGCTGCTGAAAATTTTCAATGGTTTTACTTTCCCACCTTAGTAAGTATAGTGCAGGGAACAAAATTATTATAGTTGGCTTGAATCTGTACAAGCTCCAGGACATTCTCAGGAAGTTGATTTTTAAAAAATAAATACATAAATACCTGTTAACAGCTTGTTTTCTTGTCATTTGCCTCTTCCTTCTAAAAGGAGAGTGTAGCAGAAAATAAATAAAAATGGTTAATTTAGAGTTCTGGTTAGTTATTTTCCAATTAATCAAGGCTTTATTATATTTCACAAAAAATTCTTCTTAAATTCTGCAGAAATTTTAGATAGGTTACATACAATGAAACACCAGCAGGGAAGAGCACAAAAAGATAGGAAAGCCTGAAACGCTATGATGTTTTCAATATATGGATATGTTATTACATTTCTGGTTTAATCCCCATTATGTAAAGAATAACGTGAAATGTCATGGTATTTAGGATTTGTTTATATATGAAGGCAAAGTAATAAGGTTATACATTTCTGTTGAAAATGGCCTCGGGTCATAAAAATTCCAAAAATAGATTCAGCAATACTGTGCCTATTCCTTTTCCCTCAGGAACCTTCCTTCTCATCCCATTGGATATTACAATACTTTTTAGGGCAGAAATCCCCTTCTAGTTTTTTATCTCATTTTGATTTGGCCAACAGGATGATAAAAGTAAGCCAATATCAAAGTTATGCCTTAACTTCCCGAACATGATACCATTAATCACACAGCTCACTATATACTTATTTCTGGAGACTATCTTACATCTTCCCCAAAAGGGTTACATGCACGCACATGCACACACACACAATCATATACACTCCACACAAAATAAGTTAAATACCTACAAGAGATTAGTAAAAAATACACATATTTATCTTAATTAAAAACCATTCTTTCTGATAGAATGGTATTTCCCCATGTCCCCAAACCCTTTAAAAAAAAGAACAACGACATGTAAAATGACATGTTAAAAAACAGACTATTATCTGGCTCTTTTGAGCCTTAGCATGCATCTTAGCAGTACACAAACCAGTAACCTCCATATAATTTCCACAGCAAATATATACAGTTGTTTTATCCACCCTTCATAAAAATTCTTCTTCTAATAGCTTTTTTTGTTAAAAGGCCTCTTTCAGATTTTGTTGATGTATTTATGTAGTTTGTTTTTGAAAGGCAACTGCCTTGCTGTTTATTTTTTTTATTTTTTTTTTTTTTTATAAATTTATTGTTATATTCCCCATACAATTGCCGCCCCCATTCTGACCCAATCCCTCCCCTCCCGCCCCCGCCCCCCTAAAAGTGTCTCTGGTTCATAGTTTTTTGTTGATTTTGATTTTCACTTTCTTATAGTTTTTCATTTTCCTGGTCCATTATTTAAGTTTTCTAGATTCCTGCTGTGAGTGAGACCATCTGGTATTTTTCTTTTCTTTTTGGCTTATTTCGCTGAGCATGATCCCATCCAGCGCCATCCATGTTGCAGCAAATTGCATGTGTTTATCTTTTTTGAATGCTGAGTAATATTCCATGGTATATATGTACCACATCTTCTTGATCCAGTCATCTATTTTTGGGCATTTGGGTTGTTTCCAAAGCTTAGCTATTGTAAACAGTGCTGCTATAAACATAGGGGTGCAGGTGTTCTTTGGAATTGATGTTTCTGTGTCCTTTGGGTAAATACCTAGGAGTGGAATTGCTGGGTCATATGGAAGCTCTATGTTTAGTAGGTCCAGAAATCTCCACACAGCTTTCCACAGTGGTTGGACCAGACAAAGGAGCAAAGACTATGCATTGGAGCAAAGAAAGTTTGTTCAATAAATGGTGCTGGGAAAACTGGGTCGCTACATGCAAAAGAATGAAGCTTGACCACCACCTCACACCATACACAAAAATCAACTCAAAATGGATTAAAGAACTAGACATAAGACCTGAAACCATAAAATATATAGAAGGAAATATAGGCGAAACACTATGTGATTTGCACATCAAAGACATCTTTACAGACACATCACCCAAAGCAGTGATAGTGAAGGCAAAGATAAACAGCTGGGACTATATCAAATTAAAGAGCTTTTGCACAGCAAAAGAGACAATAACAAAAACAAAGAGAAACCCCACCAACTGGGAGAACATTTTTGCACCCAACACTAATGATAAAGGACTGATCACAAAAATCTGCAAAGAGCTGATGAGACTCAACAACAACAAAGAAAATAATCCAGTCAAAAAATGGGCAGAAGAGCTTAAAAGAAACTTCTCTGAAGAGGAAATGCAAATGGCCAACAGGCATATGAAAAAATGTTCAACATCACTTGTCATCAGGGAAATGCAAATCAAAACTACCATGAGATACCATCTTACACCAGTGAGAATGGCACATATTAAAAAAACTAGCAACAACAAATGTTGGCGAGGGTGTGGAGAAAAAGGAACTCTTCTGCACTGTTGGTGGGAGTGCCTTGCTGTTTAAAGACCTGTAGAATGATTTCCAACTAAACCACAAATGCAAATGCATATCTGGAGTCACTGAAGAGAGGAGGTAGGATAAAGATGAGCATTTTCCCACCTACTCTTACATTCTATCACTTGACTATTCAAACTATTTGATTTTGCATTCTCTTTCACTGACCTAATCTGTTTTGAAAATGATCCTTTCTTTTCATTTTTTTAAAAATTTTTTGACAATACTATTGGAGTACCCCATCAGGTATGTCACCATAGTGTACCCATATTCCACCAGCAAAGACCATTGTGCCTCCTTCCCTTTGCCCTTACCCCTCCCCTACCTCCCCACCCCACCTTAGCATTTCGGTTCTGTAGTCAACGATCAAGGATTAGTTTTTCAGGTTGTCTTTATCTATTAGTTACTTTATTTTCCTCATATTAGTGACACCATTTGGTATTTATCTTTGGTATTTCTTTTCCTTCTAACTTACTTCACTTAGCATTGTCCCTTCAAGCTTCACAAATGGCAAGATTCCACAGTTGCTTCTTGATCCATTCATCTGTTTTGGGGCATTTGGGTTATTTCCATAGTTTAGCTATAATAATGGTGCTGCAATAAATATGGGAGAGCAATTTTCCTTTTGAATTAGTGTTTCTGAATTTTTTGGATAGATGCCCAGGAGTAGAATTTCTGGGACAAATGGCAGATCCATTTTTAATGTTTTGAGACACCTCCATACTGCTTTTCATAAGGAGAGGACCAGTTATTCTGATTCTCAAAGCCACACAAAGGACCTTCCAGGAGGCTTTAGGGGGAGACTCTGTTTCTCTAGGGCATAGATCAAAGCTTTCAAAATGTGGGAAATACCTCCATACAGCTTTCCATAAGGACTGGATCAGTTTGTACTCCCACCAGCAGTTTAGGAGGGTTCCCTTTCTCCTCATCATCTCCAGCACTTTTTGTTTCTGGTCTTTTTGATATGGGCCATTCTCACAGGCGTGAGATAGTATCTCCTTGTAGTCTTGATTTGCATTTCTCTAATAATAAGAGATTGTGAACATTTTTTTTTTTCATGTGCTTGCTGGTCGTTTGAATGTCTTCTTTGGAGAAGTGTCATTATAATTATTTTGCCCATTTTTTGATTGGGTTATTTGTTCTGTTTTTGTAGAGTTTTATGAGTTCTTTGTTTTTATGAATTCTTTGTATGAGTTCTTTGTCTTTGTAGAGTTTAATGAGTTCTATGTATATCTTTGATATCAGTCCTTTATTAGATGTATGACGTACAAATATTTTCTCCCATTCAGGAGGGTGTGTTCGTTTTAGTTATTGTTTCTTTAGCTGTACAGAAGACTTTTAGTTTAATGCAGAAAAATGATGCTTTCTTAAGGCACAATATACTGACAAATACTAAGTCCATGATAATCCAACGGGCTATCACTGAACTGGAGGACTATTTCCGCCTTTCACCAGAGATTTCCCTTTTTATTTTACTTCTAAAACTTGTTGAAGATAACAAAACATTTTTTACTATGGTCATATGTATATAAGCATCTTAAATTCAAAAAACTAAAAATCATTGAAATCTTCATAGATTATTTAAGTCAGTCTAAAATTACTGGATACTAATTTTACTGAGTTGTGACATATAAAGGAAACTAACAGATGAACTAAATAAAACAAAAGAAACTTTTAGACTATAAAACCAGTAAGAGTTTTACCAAAAGGGAAGAGGAAAGGGGAGTATGTACATTGGGACAAAGAGTAAAATATATGGTGAATAACTGAATTTGTCATTTTGTGGTGAAATGAATGTAGTGTATGGACACGATTTTCAGGGATGCACAACTGAACTTATATCACATTGTGATGTTACTTGAATAAATTTTTAAATAAAATTGCTGAATACTGAAACATTTTTGTTAGGATTATCCAATAAAAGTATAAATTTCCATCAGTTAACTGTCTTTTTATTAAGGATTGAAAACTTTCTCATTTGTCTTCTCAAATATAAGAATGTATTTTATAATAATGCCTACCATTAGCTATAAATGTAGAACTTTAGAAACTACATATTAAATATATATAATTTATTTTTCACAATAAAATAAAATGTGACTTCTGTACTTTGGAATTTACTCCTTCTCTGATGTCAACTAATTTAAATCTTCTTTGCAAATAATGAACATTTTGGAAATTTTTATAGAACAATTATATAATGCCACAAATATTCTCAGATCAATATAGAGCAGTTCTCATTTGGGTTTTCTGGAGTTGGCCTAGAATATTTCATATGCCGTCTGATTTGTCTTTGTCTCCTGAAGTTACTTTTTTGCTGTGTGCCCCACAGCTACAAAATTAAAATAATGAACAAAGGACCTGAATTTCACAAAAACTTATCTTTGTGGCTGAAATATAAATATAACCTCATCCTAATAATTCACTCACAAAATGAGGTTACACATATTCAAAAACATTGAGTCAGATTCTATACTAAATATATCAAGACTACCAGTAGCACTATTACCAATTGCATTCCTACAACATATGGTGGTCGATATTAAGGGTCTCTACAACTGACAATTCCTACAATCATTATTATTATACTACATTAGGATATTAATTATCCTTAATATAGAAAGACCCTCCCACCACATACAAATTGTAACTAAATAGTGATTCTGCTCTGAGACCCAAGAACTGAATAATTGAGAGCATGTTGTCTT